CAAACTGTGCACAGCCCTAACCAAGTCTTGCCCATTCCTGTTGGGCAGGCTACTTGTAGCATTGAGGAGCCCAATATCTCAAGAAAAGACAGCTTTCTGTGAGCCCCCAACCTTCCTCCCGTGCTTCTACCTGAAAGTAGCGCGGAAACTCAAGTCTTACAACAGCGCGGCTACATATATGTATATATGTAAAACGCATTCCTAGCCTTCTCCAGCAGGAACTAGACGCCTAAGCAATGCTCACAGGGATTCTGCTCTGACTGATCCTGAAAGACGGAGCTGAAAAATACAGTATAGGATATGGGGTTCACACCTAGCGTCTGCAAAAAAATCAGGAAGATGCAGTAGGGCAGCCTGGGCCAACAAACAACATGGCAAAGCTCGAAGAATCACCCTACACAAATTGATAGCCTTGTGCTGCTCCCATTCTTCGCAGAAAATGTCAACCTCATCATGAATTGGTAGTGCGTGTGAGTGTGATGGAGGGAACCAGCGAGCGAGAGCAAGAGCAAGAGCAAGAGCGAGAGCGAGAGCGATAGAGAGAGAGAGAGATGCGCAAGGTCGGAACAAACAGAATACCAACATGTGAGGACTGCGCCAGCCATGCGCCCCCATCGTCGCCAGATTGCGCCTCCAAACAGAGCTGCGGCACTCATATACAGGCTCACACGCGCGCACACAGTGGCAACACACAGACTCTCCCTCTTTCTCTTTCCCTACTTGTTAAGCTTTGCAGCATGTGTCCCTACTTTCTCTTTCCAGACTCTCCCTAGGTCCTACACCATGAAGAACTGCAGCCTCTCGGAGTACCTCTTGCACATGTGCAGCTGCTGCCCGCATTGAGCTCATGGCTTTCCTTGGGCAATTCCAGGCTTGATGCGAAGTCGGATTCAAATGTATCAGAAACGAAAGCATGTTTGGACAAGTAAACAAAGGCATAATGGCATAACACAGGAAAATCCCCAACGGCTGCGCATTCACCCGCCTACAACACCGCATATTCACCATCAGTGATGTCTATGTCACACGCAATGCCGCTTCGAAGCACGTGAGACTCTTCAATGTGCCATGCGAGTATGTCCGCATACGTGCGAGCATGACAACGGCGCAACAAACAAGAACCAGGGAACCTGCTCCAGCAATTCAGCACAACAGCATGACACGACGCTCAAAGTGACACTGTGAGCATGTTAGAGTGGCCCATGTCAGTGTGCCAGCATGGCGCCCTGAAAGCGTGACAGCGTGACACCATGCCAGCATATCACCATTACAGCATGCTAGCGCGTGCACACGTCCGCGTGACAGCATTGAAAAGTACAGGATGCCAAAATAAGACCATGTCAGCATATCGGCGTCACAACTCACGAGCACTTCTCGACCCCACCGACAGAAGCCTTTGGCCGATCACGGGAATCAAAAGCAAAACTCGTGCCAAACCCCAAATGGAAAAAGTCTTGGACCTTGGAAGCATCATCCAGCCTGTGATGCTCCCCGTCCCTGCTGTAAATTACAGCAGCGGCAGATTGATGTTTCTTCTGCCAGCAGAGCCATGAGAAACAAACGAGACAAAGGAAAACAAATCATTGAATCATCTCAGCCCAAGCATCCAAGAAGAGCCACGGGAGACAAAGGGAGACAGAGCAAAATCATCTCAGCCGATACAGAAATCATCTTGGCCAATCGTTTGTATACAAGAATTGAGAACGCCTCACAGCAAAGCTGCTTGGGAAAAAAGGAATCGTATACACACTACACGGAGAACCTGCCAAACGATCCGGTCCATCAATCACTCTCACCCTCGGATTCAAAAGCACAGGTGACGCCATCGCACCTTCAGAACTTCCAAGCGATCCGTCCCATCTAAACACCCATCAAACCATTGCGGCAACATCGGGCGGTGCATGTGAGAGCAGCGGCCCTCCCACATCCCCCGTGCCACAGCACCACAAGAACTGCCGCAGGTTACAACTCTGAGAATCGGGTGCCCTGCGAGAAATATCGTTGGCTACAGCCGCCGCCAACAACGACAACTTGCAAGCATAGAGCAAGGACGCTACTAGTAACAAGCACATTACTAGTAGCAAGAATGCTACTATATAGTAGCTCCTGGCATTACTACTAGTAACAAGAGACTACTAGTAACAAAGGGCATAACAAGAGCATTACCAATATAGTAGCTGCTGGCATTACTAGTAACAAGAAGGTACTAGTAACAAAGGGCATTACCACTAGTAGAAAGAACGCTACTATATAATAGCTGCTGGCATTACTACTAGTAACAAGGAACTACTAGTAACAAGGGCATTATTACTAGAAGGAAAAATGCTCCTAGTAGCTCCTGGCATTGCTACTAGAAACAAGAAGCTACTAGTAACAAGGGCATTACATGGCATTACTACCTAGTAGCAAGAATGCTCCTAGTCGTAACAAGGGCATTACTACTAGTAGCAAGAATGCTACTAGTAGCTCATGGCATTACTACTAGTAGCAAGGGCATTACCACTAGTACCAAGAATGCTACTAGTAGCTCCTAACAATACTGCTAGTAACAAGAAGCTACTAGTAACAAAGGGCATAACAAGGGCATTGCTACTAGCAGCCAGAATGCTACCAGTTGCTCCTGGCATTACTGCTAGTAGCAAGGGCACCGCTACTAGGAGCAAGGACGCTACTACTAGTAACAGGAAGCTACAGTACTATTACTAGTAGCAAGTAGTTTCATGGGCTCCGCCATTTCCGTTACCTCTGTGAATGCGGTGGCTCATGACTGTGTCCTTCCAACAGTTTTCCGTGCCTGCGAGAGACCGCAAGCGAATGGGTCTTATGCAGGGTACTACGGGGTGAAGTTGTGGGATATTGCATGAGGCGGTGCACAGCTGTTGCAGCTGATCTGCGGCTTCCTCCCTTCACAGGAGCCATACAGCGTAACAGCTAAACATGAGCTTGGTCCAAAACCGCTTGTGACAAAACGGAACGGAGCTCTATAGAGAGCCTGGCACAGAATCCGATCCGTGTGACTCATTAGGCGTTCCTGAAGTTCCACAAAAACCGGTCAACAGCACATCGGAAACAAGATTTGCAGCATGCTTTCCCAGCTGCACATGGAAAGGAACTGGACACAAACCCGTCAACCCGTCCGTCTCTCACAGGTCAACCTGATCGGTCCAACGCTTTCCCACGCACAACTCTACGTCGTCACTTCGATAGGCTTGACATGATCGTGACAGACCCTTAGCTGTAGCCGACATTTATGTCACTCGCAGCCATCCGCAGCCCACGCTTGGCTGCCCTTGGGAGCAGGCTTCTGGGCCACGGCATGCACCGATGGGATGAAGTCTGCCTAGAAAGCATCAAAAGCTTTCCAAAAGTCTTTCCAAAAGCTGCAAGGCAACAAGTTCTGCGTGAGGCAAAAGCATGGGCGATCTCCAGCAGCATGCGGACCTGTGAATTCGAAGAATCGAGATAGCCTTCAGTGACACGCACGCTGAAGGGCAGTCAAGGGCGGAGCCAAAGCCATATATGCTTGTAACCTCTGGCGTTGTCAATACAAACCAAAGGTGTCCCTCTCTCCCGCTTTTGCAAGCAACGCCATCCAAAACCACGACTATGAATGAAGTATCATGATCACGAATAGGCTTGGTTCCACACTGCCAAGAGGTCCGGTCCAAAATGGCCTGAAAACGTGAGCTGCACACTGCTCGTTGCAGCCCATGGTTGGAGCAAGATGAGATTCCGCCTGATAAAGGCAAGTTAAAGGTTCTGGCAGGCTCTCCAAGCTAGTCTCACAGGGGCAAAACGCTCAGCAAAGCAACAATTGCAAATCGCTGGAAAAATATCCACTCTCCCCCACTAATGTTAACTTGCCTTTGAAGCTGCACGGCTGTGAGAAACCTTGGGAGCTTGAGGGAGGAGCTGTGCTGTCCTTGGGCCAGGATCCATGAAGTTTTGCTTGCAGCAACGTCCCTAAGGCTAAGGTTTGTGCTGCAAGAATTCATCTGAGAAAACACTCCTGTGGAACGTCCAGCTGACGATTGCTCACATCAGGGCTTAGCCGGTTAGCCTACCGAAAGCAGTCCTTTTCAGAATGCATCCGTGGAGGACAGCTGCTGCCAACAGAAACGTCCGGTCCTGACAACGGAATGGTGCAATTTCTCAATGGAACTGCATGCGGGCGGCAACATCGATGGCTGATGCTGCAGCCGCGTGACAGCTGAAAGGACAACACGATCAAAGAACGCCCTGGTGCTTTTTCATGGGCTTCCGTCGGTTGAGGAGATGAATCGTCAGTGAGTCATAGCCGTGCAACCGGCGAGCACAATATTGGCATTGGCTGGAAAGTGCTTTTGGCCCTACAGGAAAAAACCTGTGCCCATACACTTCATGGACTTCCTTGACCAGGCTTTTCCAGCCACTGTGCCTACTATCAGGATTCAGCCCGTGCTTGTCAAGCTCAGGGCATGAGTTCTCCCACACCCGAAACCAATTTGCATGAACCATCTCCCTACGTTGCAAGCACTCAACCCTCTCTCTATTTGTTTATCTATCTGCTCTTGCTGAATGTTGACGTGGCATAAAAGAACAGAAGCCAACCCGGCAGAATATTGCAGAATAGAAGATTCAGAGCTGCAGTTGTGGAGCGTACTGGAGGCAGGATGAAGGACATCGTTTCAAGCTGGTCACTTGGGACATTTTGTGGTGGAGACCACCACACGGCTTTCGGATCGTCTGGACTTGACTCAGCGCGGTTTCCTTAGCTTTCTCTCTACAATAGATGGCACAATCCCAAAAAAGGTTGTCTATATGGATCCCCATCTAAAAGACATCTTTGGTTTGTGCCATCTACTCTGAAACCACTGTAACAAAATGGTGCTGAATCCTTTAAGCTTTAAACCTTCAGTTTCAATTTCTCGGTGCTCCATCAGTTACAGTAGGTCCATCGAATCGTTTCGAACACCCTTTAGAAAAATTGTAAAAATTGTAAAGGGTTTGCCTATTCGATAGGAAATCATGGCAAGCCAACAAGGATTTCGTTGAATCAACCAGCTGGAGCAGCCCGCGGGCGGCGCGGCCTGCATATGAGCTGTGACACACATTGGCATGCTACATCTGCTTAGCAGATGCAGCTTGCACTTCTGGTATGGCTCCCACTGAAAGGACATGGAAAAAATCTAGGCTAACACGGCTAAGGCGACTAGGTCACTAGAAGCTTGCAAATGGGCAGGTCCAACTGGCAAGCCTTTTCCAGACTAACCTCAGATCGAAAATGGCCGTCAAATTGCAAGCCCGGTCTTGCTGTGACACTTCCCCACGTGCAACTCCGGAACGATGCTCGGGGCTTGCTTTCCTCCCGCTATCAAGTACAATTGCAACGGAAAATGAGGAAACAAAGTGCACAAACAGGGCTCCTCGATCTCTGTCAACAGCTTTGCAGCCTCCTCCTGACAGCTCACAAGGCTGCCATGGGGACCATTAGCTTATCCCTACCCAGTCGCAATCCCCGAGAAGAAAAAGGGCCTGCCCAAGTCTGCTACATTGGCTCTGAGCTTGCACACCCAGCCTTGCCTGGGGGTCTGGGACGTTCTACAGCAATGCAATCCTCGCTTTTCATCTGAGGTTGCTCTTTGACTTCACGCGCCCTAGAAATGACCAATGGACACGTTCCATGGAGAATTTCAAAGAATTTCAACGGCCCCGCGCGATTTGCGCGTTCTCACATGCATCTTCGAGTCGTCCCCTCTGGCACTTTATGGCGGTGCCTTTTTTAGGTCAATGTCCTTTTGAACGTGTTTTTACACCACAAAACGCCTCTCAAATCGTAACACCATTGTGAAATGACAGTGCGTTCGGGGACCCGGAAGTTAAAAATAACGGATCTTGAATCGCTTCTCTTTTTCATGAAACCTTAACACACGTCCAACACTTCCATTCCCTCAGGCGTGCCACTCCTTTTCACGCGTTCCACTCCTTCTGTGCCATCTGACCCAACTTCTGCAGTTGGTTATTGCAGCGCCACGCAAAGCTATACATGTATTCTTGGATGCGCGTACGGCGCAAGAATCGATGCCACTGATCCCGAAGACCCACTATGGATCTTCTCAGTCCGTCAATATCATGCACACTAGTCATGATAGTTTGTACAGACTCTAGCCCCACATCATACGTAGCTTCAACTTGGTTTGCAAGTGCAAGCGAATGTTAACAGACCCCACCCCACCCCCACCCCCACCCCATTCCCAACGTAGCATCAACTTGGTTTGCAGGTGCAAGCGAACGTTAACAGACCCCACCCCATCCCCACCCCACACCACCCCATCCCTATCAACTTGGTTTGCAAGTGCAAGCGAACGTTAACAGACCCCACCCCATCCCCACACCACCCCATCCCCAGCGTAGTATCAACTTGGTTAATGGTGAAAACGTGGGAATTCTCCGGGGCCCTTTGGGGGGGGGCGTGAGCAATTTCAAGGGAAGTGTTGCAAAGGGATTATGTCAAACGCCATAGTTGAGATTGAGTTGGGGAAAATGCGTCAGCTTGGCTTCATAGACAACTTATGGTGAAGAAGGAGGCCATGTCAACTTGGGACATGTCCACCTTCACAAGTTCAGAGTCGATTACTCTCACCTACACCATGCACAAATCAGGAATATCCAGCCATGAAATGGTGAGCTTGTTGTATATAACAATGATCTACCTCTCTACGAACACATTCACCCTGAAGTGGACCTCCTTGTTGGCGACACCAATCTGCAGCAAATTCACATGGGACTTTGCGTATTTCTCCACAGCGGGTCATCAAATCCAGCTTGGCACTATTCCGCAAATCTATCAGGGATGACATGCTGGAGTCAAATGAAAAATCTCTTGATAAACTCGAAATATGACAGTTCAGCCCGCGCTTCCGAGCCGCATACAAAGCACACGAAAGAATAAAGCCGTTCAACTATAAACATACTGTAATACATTACATGTGACATTGGAACGGCTGACCGCAATTCTTTGCACAATCCAATTTTGGAACTAAATGCAACTTGGCGATGAAAGCAAAAGAAAGCGGCTCTCAATGACACTCGCCCCACGGAAGCCATGTTGAAAAATGAAATATCAGTTCCAAGATGTTCCAATTGCTTACTGTATGTATGTATATATATATATAACTACAGCATACTACAGCCAAACTTCAGGCGTACAAAGCGAATTAAGTAACAAAGTTGAAGGAAGTCTACATAAAGCATGCTTGCCGCGGAAATGATCCTGGAGTGACCTCACTGCTTACTCCACAGTCACTCAATAAGTCACTCAGTAGACTCAGAAGCATAGAAAATATGAGTTCTTTTCTGGTTGGACTTTTTCAACTTGTGTTTGCACAAACTCTCAAGTTGGAAAAATGGCCGATGGTTCATCCGCGAGTTTTCTGGAGCATCTTCTCAAAATGTGTTCTGTATGTAGGCCTGATGATCTGATTGGGATCTGTCCATGCTTATGGCTTACGGTTCTTAAGCATTGCCGTCGACAAGTTCTTGTTCAAGAACGCAGGGCATCAAGAGCATTCTAACAGCTCGTGGGCGTGAGCATTTGGCATTTTGTCCGCGCTGGTCTGCTGATTCAAACAAGCAAATTCGTGTCAGTGCGTTCCCGACGGGGATTCCCAGCTGCTAGCTGCACGATGTGAAGCAGTCAGACTTCGGACCACTGCGGCACTCTTGGCAAGGTTTGGTGCTTCCAAACTCTGCGACGAGTAGTGCTGCCATTTGGTTTGCTTTGCTGTCTCCACACATGATGCTCAGACTCCGGTGCTGTGACCTCAACGGGCAAGGACGAACCAATGCCTCCAGTATATAGAGAACACGTGCCACTGGGCATTCATGGGGGCCCCTCTCTACCAATCAAGCCTTGACACTGCCCAAATAAGGCTAAAACGTCTCGGCCATGCTTCTGGTTTCAATTGGCCGGTTGGACGTGTCTGCAGTATGCTAGCTGAAGGCTTCAGAATCAGTGCTATTTCGTTCAAGTACTCGGTCACCCAGAGCTGTCCTTCTCAAAAGCTTGCTAGTTGCTAGAGAATGTTTGGCCGTGGGTCAAAACCTGGACCCCCAATTCCTGCCGGTTGACCTAGTCACGTTCATGGCGCCAGACTCATGCGCAGGTGGTCAACCAGGGTCCCCCACCTTTGGCCCACAACCATTTGTTGTTCGAAGCTGGAGATCCCCCCCAAGCGCAATTGCGCCTCTTCTTGCTTGGCTTTTGCTTCTTGCTCCTCCAGTTCCCAGAGCTACGCTGTGACTTCCTTTCGATAAATAACATAGATATATGATACATTATGGTGTGTATATGTATATATATATATGTATATCTGTGTGTGTGTCTGTGTACAAAAAGGTGTATATAGAGAGAGGGAGAGATGTGTATATGTGTCCCTGTGTGTGTGTGCCACCCTCTGTTTCTAAGAGTTCTGCAGAGTACTCACTTTAATCCAGCAGGGGCGTACGGCTCGTCATACCCACCGTACGCAACGAAGCTACGGTATGACGAGGGAAGGGTGGACTGATCATCCACCTGTACCTGCACTGATGAGATGGAACTTTTGCGCACGCTGTGACTCCACTCTTTCCTTGTTTGATTCCATGGTGGTTTCGCACGCTACTCCCCTAAACCAATTTCCCTCCACATTGTAGCTGCTGATCGCCGCTTTCGTTGAGCGTTTTTTGCAACATTTATTCAACATTCAGTTGGCTGCGGACTTTGCCACCATTCCGTTCCATCACTCCTTTTCCCGTGGAACAGAGTTCACTGAAAACCCATTGTCTAAGTGTGTGCCGCTCTGCTGTCTGACTTGGGCGCAGGGTGTGATCTCCCGCAAGGGAGCGCCGAAACCATCGTGGATCACAGTTTGATTCAGCGCTTTTCTGCACGCGTTGGATCATCACTTACTGATTAAGTGTCTCACCCCATGAATCTTCTGCCACAACACTGCCGAGTTTACGGAGACTCACGCCGCTGGGCATACGGTGTTTCTTCCACGTTTTCATGTCAGAGCTTCCGCAGCTCAAGTTTTTCGATGCTGACATCAAAAGTTCATTCATTTACTGCCTCAAGGTTGTTAGGCCAACTTCCCGACATTTTCACGACGTTTCATGCGCAACTAGTTTCCTTTGTACGGTCCGATGGACTTTCCATTCACGTGTCAACTAGGTCTGGATGCTTTTCCTTTTCTGCATTTTGATACAACTTTCAAGCTCAGTTAGTTATTTCATTCATTCGGATTCACGTAGTGTGTACATCGTCCTTTTTGCAGGGCGCCGATCCATCGCGCTGCCGCTGCCATCGCGCTGCTGCTGACGACAACGGTGAGTTGATACTCTTTGGCAGCATGCACTTTCCTTGGCCGTACCCTTATGCACCACAACTGCCACCCATGACGATGCCCACTCCACAGCCTTGTCCACCCCAACCTACACCCTGCCACTCAGTACCCTTCCCGACCTCCAACCACCACTCCGGCGGTCGGGTCCACTGCACCGGACCCAACCAGCTGACTGACCCTCCGCAGACCAATCCCACGCCGGCCAGGCTACGCCGACCAATCCGACGCCAACCAGTCCTGCTCAGCCATCTCCTTCTCAACATTCACCTCCTCCTCCTCAACCACCACCTGGGCCCAGCTCCGGCCCCACCACTACTGAATCCACCGCGTCCCAACCACCTGCCTCCGCCACCTCCTCCGCCACCACCACAACCAGGCACCACACCCAAGACCGACGCCTCAGCGAAAGGCGTCGCTTTCTCATTACTTGAGTCAATCCAACATTTCACTGCAGCTGTGCTTTGCCTCTATGGCAACTCCAGGAGCTCTCTACAGCCATGATTCACTGGAGACAGACGCTCGTCATTTACCTTCTGCCGCGCATGCCACCGTCACATTACCTCAAACCCACTTCCTTACATGTCACCCTCTGTCGTCACCAACCTGAACTTCTCCTCCTCCAATGGATGCTACACATGTTGGAAGGTCTCATTGAAAGCATCCTTCAGCACCCACTTGTTTTGGACCCAATTCCCAGCCGACAACACTTTACAGACCACAACTCCTACCGCCTCTTTGTACAATTCCGGAACGCTCTCCACCGCCTGGCTCCTCTGAGGTTAGACTTGACCCAAGGTCGTCGCCTCCTGCAGTTTCTTCCAGGCTCCCCGGGATCCCACCGACACTGTTACCACCGCTCCACTTTCTTCTTCAACCACCACCTCCCTTCCTCGCGCACTATCGCTCACGCCGTCGAGAGCGCCACACCTCGTCCTGTGCATGGGACACTCCACTTTTTCATCGCAGCCACCCTCCTTCTTCTTCTCCCTCTGACCCGTCACCCACTCGATCAGAAACCCGCCGCTACATCCACGACTCCAATGCATTGACTCAGCAGATTTCACCTCTTTTCCCGCACCGCCACGTTAGGCCACCGACTGCTTCTCACACAGTCCAATGCCGACTTTTTGACTAAGCGTAGCCGTCACACCGCTCCGACAAAACAGGTTGCGCGCTGCTCCGCCCGTTCTTTACTGTTTCAACCTTTTGCTCGCTTTCTGGATCCTATATTTCCGTTTCGCGCTCCCTCTTTTTTAGTTTTCGTTTTCGTTTTCCACCTCATATCTTCCATCAAGTGTCTTCCAACTGCCGCCTTTTCCGCAGCTGTTTCTACCTCAATTTTCGATCAGCGGCCTCTGCGCTCCTCATGGACGAGGAACCTCCAGATTGGAATCGCTCTCCATCCCCAGATTGGCCAGTCCACACCGATCCATATTTTGACCAACCAGACAAGCCACCTTCACCTACCGTCGTCTACCTCTCACGACCTTCCCACCAAGCCCACAGCGCCAGCACCGACTTAACCATCCTCGGCTACTCCTGAAGACAAGCCACTCGCAAAGCAGCCTCCGGTCTCCCAGACGCTACCGCAACCTCTCCACTAAACCACCACCACGACATCGCACTACTTCCCGCAAAGACACCTCCACCCGACCAAACTCACCACCACCTTCTCCTTCTTCTTCTACCAGCAGCGACGACCCCGTAATTGCACGCACCAACGTTCCCATCCTCAAGAAAGCACGACCGGGTCAGCCACCCATCCGACTCCAACAGGCGCGACATCAACCACCACCACCACCACCCAGCTCCAATCCACCTCCTCACCACAATCCCACCACACACCGTTGGCTTGATGTCACGTCTCACGCTCTCAGCTCCCCTATGACTTTTTGCCAGAGATCCGCCACTACCTTGACCCACCATTACCGACGCTTTCTCACCCACCACCGCTTCACCCAGCACCGCCACCAGATTTTGATCCATTGCTCATTCCACCTCCCACACATCCGGCACCACCACCTCTCTTTCCACCTCTTCCTCCCACGCCGACAATTATTGATACACAAACCTCCACCTTAGCCGACGCCATTTTGCGGATTGCCCACCACGCAGCATATACAACAGCGGCTTGCCGGCTTTCTGAGTAGCGTAGTCTCACTATGTTTCACATCAACACCACAGACGCCTTCTCCCGGCCATGAAAAATTATCATTCTGATGTGGTCACGTCTCACCTTTGATACCAGTTTTTACAGGATCTCCCTTCTTTTCTTTTCTTTCATCAAGCAGATGCTCTTGTTCGAACACACCACATACTTTCCGTATACGCCGCAGCTGTTTTCATTGCTACCACCGCTTCCACCTTGTTTTTGCCCTCCACTGCCATGACCGCACCTGTCCCTACTGACGAGGGCATTGAGACAAGTTTCTGGTCATGGGCATATCATCACCGCCCTGGAGCCCTTCTTGCAGTCCTCACCGATCGACTTCAATTGAACAACGTCCTCCAGAGTTTCAAAGACGTTTCACTACTTTGCTGGAAACACCCATGTGGCACGACGAATTCCGCGACAAATTGCCACATCAGGTAGTTGACTTGGTCAATAACTACCGGCTTCGCGTCACCCACGCCGAGGCCCATGTGCGGCGAGCACTTACCTCCATTGGCCGTTTCCCCGCCACAACCTTTCTCAACAACCCGTCCATTGACCCCAACACACTACCTGCGGAACCACCACTCCACCCAATCCTTCCACCACGCCGAGGCCTTGCACCAGGTCAATACCCTCCCACCACAAACAACATCCTCTATCGTCTCCCTACACATGCAATTCCCATGCAACACACTGCCACTCAGACCTCTTTCTTTCCACCACTCACTGTCCACTCAGATTAGCAGACAGACCCAATTGTCCCCCCCACCTGCCACCCCACCCTAGCCAACCCGCCCCACTTCCGTGGGATTACAGCCAAGGCGTATGGCAGCCATTCTCAGTATTTCCACCGGTCACTCAGCCCACTACTGGTGCACCCAACCTCGCACAGCTCAACCAGACCACATCCTCTTCTCCCCAGGAGCCTTCGGCAGCCACAACACCAGCACCATCTCCAAGCATGGCCGCTCGCGACCTCCAAGCCTCACCTTCCACAGCACCTTCAATCCAAGCGGACAACCCTGGTTCTGACCAGACTTCTTCCGCACACCCGGCACAATTGCCACCACCTTCGACTGCCGCGACATCCACTCCACAGGATCCACACCAGCGCAACTCCCACCACCGCCGCCACTTCAACCGCAGCCAGCTGCCGCACTTCCACCACCTCCACCGCCACAGGCTCCCAGTAAGCAAGCGAGCAGTGACCACCGCTCTCATCGAACCCACCGCCGTCATCGCACTCGTGGACGGCGCACCCACCGCCATCGCACCAGACAGTCCAACCCACAGCAGCATTCCAACCCACAGCACAGCTCTCCCGCAGGCACCACTCGTCGCGTCGACCCGACAAGGCCTGGCGCCCTTTCCACAATTTCAGCAACGCACTCCCCAAGAACAGCTGGAACACTGGCTTGATTGGCATGCCGCCCACCTTGACGCACCCAACAGACCACAACACACATACGTTGCCAAACTTTTACTCGACAGCGGTTTCACTTACAAGGATGTCTCCGATTTTCGCCAGTTCACACACATCAAATGGAATGACACCACCAAAACTTATGACATTTACCAGTACCACTGCATCACCATTCCACAGCCTTGTCCAGAAAGCCACTCGCAGTTTCCCTCACCCGCTACCCGCGCTACATCCACCACACCTGAGATGGTCCACATCAACGCAGGACATACTGGTCCTCTTGGCAACATCACCAACATCCTCCAGCAGGGCCGC